AAAGATCTGTCCTCTTCTATGCTCCCTCCTCCCACGCCCAGAACCTTCAGGGAGAGCATGGCTCTTCCAACACCTTGATTGAGGACTTATAGCCTCCAGAATTGTGAGAGAATACATTTCTTTTGTTTGAAATCACCCAGATTTGTGGTGCCGGTAGCCCTAGGGAACTAATACAGGGTGCAAGAGTTCTTCCTTGTTTGAGGCTCTCAAACATGTTATCCAGAAATGTGTTGCCTTTTGCCATCCTTCATGTCACTGTGACAACCAAGAATATCCATGCCCATACTTCTGAGTGCAACTGTTATGCTCTCCATTGAGCAGCACAGGGTAGGTCATCATCTAACTCATAATCCTTTCTCCCCCTGAGTCTGGACCCTCTCCACACATTTTCATCTGGCGACTGGGACAATGTTTCTAAACTACAAACATGGTAGCCTTCCCTGTCTCCTTCACCCTAAAATACTTCGTGGGCTATTGATGGTGGCAGAATAGAGCCCAAACTCCTTAATATGGCATGAGCTGACCAGGCCCCATCATAAGAAGGTCTCTTCTACTTCTCCAGCTTCAGCCTCTATCACTACTACTTAGTGATACAAAGACTTTCTTCACCCAGCTCAACTTACTTTCAGTTTTAGAAATGGAACTTTATTCTTCCGAGAATGACCTGTGTGATGGAATGCCCTCCCAGCTTTTCTACCTACACCCTCACTCTCATTTGTCTAATTCCTCTTCACTTGACAGATCTTAAGATTTGGTCATATACAAATTCCTAGGGACTCATTCACTGAAGAAGAGAGTTTAAGAGTACATTCCATGCTTTTTTTTCAAAGCAATCTTGGTCTTTTTTTTTTTTTTTATTACACTGATGGATCATAGAAATCTTGTTTGATTTCAGGTCTCTATAAGGACTGGGCATGGAAGGGGGTTATATGTGTGTCATACGAAATGTGGCTGAAGTTCAGAGAAATAGGTTTCATTTAATAGCTGAATACTGGATGACCTCACCATTCTTCTCACCCTCTGGCAGCTTGCCCCGTGAGCGATAGAGGAGCTGCCTGCACGAATGGAGGAGTAGCTGCTGGCCTCAATGTGATTTTGCAATGATCTGTGTGCTCTATGGCTGCCTTCATAACCAACAAATCAATTCCCACTCTACGTATTACACACCCCAGTGGCAGAGGCCATTTATTATCCTTTTGATGATCATACTCTTTGTACATAACCAAGAAAGATTACAGAGGAAGGAAAGAACAGTTGAAATGTGGATGAAGATATTGTACTATGGCACTGCATTCCATAGTGTGTCTTGCATGTATACAAGAATGAAAAAGACGCTTTCTTTCAAGACAGTTTGGAAACATGGATGCAGAATTGTCCTTTGAATGAAATCTATTTTAAGAACAACATATGGAGAGAGCATTGTCATGCAGTTTTATATCGGTGCACATTTAGATTTCAGGTGCAAGTTCAAAATGATTAAGAGAGAAGGACTCAGATTTTCTTGTCATTCGGGAATTGTTTATAAGGCTGTACTTGACTAGCTGTGTTCGACTAATGAGCTTTTTGATACGTCCTTTTATTTGGCATCATCTTTCATCAACTGATTCTTTTATTAATTTCTAACTTTGCAGTATCCAGTTTTTTAAACTCTAAATGATTGATGCCAAGGTTTTCCTAATTCTTTAAATCCAGACGCTATAGTTACTATTGTTAAACAAACATATAAAAACAAATAATGAATTGTGTTGACTAGGTGCAAGAAAATTGAATATTTTGAATTAGATATAAATGGTACATGGTGAAATTCTGGTGTTATTTATCCTAAACCAAACACCCCATAAACAAATAACGTAGATCTGAATGTGGATGGGAAACATTTTATCAGTGAAACTAATGGTAAAAGTATGACTTGATAGTGGGTTCTGTTCATAAATATTTAAGCTGCTTAGTCAGTAGATGAAAAGAACAGTGGAAATTTCCAAAGGTCAAAGAAGCTACTGTCTTTTCTGTTTCGCATCATTTGAGATTTTCCAGTTTTTTGCTAACAACACAATGCCAAATCTGTGTTTGATTTTGTCTTCTCTTTGAAGAGGCAAAACAGTGACAGAATAATTAACTGAAGAGGAGATCATGCACAGAATATTTTCCTTTGGCGGTGTAGAAAGTCCTGGGTTTCATTTCACATGATGGTAAACGTAGTGAAGTATTCTGGAATCGTTCTTTAAGAGAGTCAGTCTCCTGACAATTTTACCATTGGTAAACCAAAGCCTCTTGGGGGTCTGTTTCCTGTTTAACTATTCCTCGTTTGAGTAACTGAAAAGTATGCTTAGTAGAAAGCCGGCACATGGTTTTCAGTTAGATGATGCTCTACACCTTTATGGAAAAATACACACAAGAACAACCAAAATAAATTGTCAATGTCAAGTTCAGTGCCTTATTAGCCCTGTGCAGACCAAAAAGCTAAAGTCATGGATTGGTATTTTAAGGGGAATAATGGGTTTTCTTTTACTTACTGTTGTTAGTTTTTTGCTTTTCTTCTCTTTCTCTCCCAAAGACTCTTGTTTCTATTATTTAGCTTCTTTTGGTGATACAATGTCATTATGTTTGATAGTCTTCAGAGAGAGATGAGCTTTTGTATATAAAATCTTTGGAATCTGTCTATGAATTCCATTTCTGTTAATGTTCCTACAATGCCTTGAACTGCTGTGGTTAGTCACTAAGCCACTGAACTACTTACTATGGTACCAGCTTCTCCTTTGGTAATGTGTTTATAATCAGGACTATTTTTGGTTGAGGAATTTGCTGAATTATTCTAGAATAGAATTAGACAAGTTAATCCGGGAACTTGGAGCCTAGTTCTTATAAAGATTAATTACTGGTTTAATAAAACCGACATTTTATTAAACCCGTGATAGTATATACCAATGATATTTACAGTTTTAATTAAATAACAAATATATGCATGTCCATGTTTAAATCTCTTTAAACAAAAGAACCATGTAATCATTTAGACAGATCTCATACATTTCTTGGGCTTGGTGGAAAGCCAGCTTATTTCAAAGTAGCTCTGCTAAATATAGGAAGACAAAATGAGGGAGAAGCAGATTATTGAGTGTTTATTATTTTGTAATAGTAGCCTAGGAATAGCTCTGTTCAGAGTGTTTTATATCTGTTAACTGAGTTGTCATATTGACCCTGGAATATTGGTACTATTCTCATCTCCTTTTTCCATATGAGGAAACAAAGGCGTAGAAAGGAATTTCATACCCAGACAGCCAGATTCTAGAGCTTGTACTTCAGTCACTAAGCTGTGGTAACTCTACTGAATACTCACTGCACGTAGTCATGGGAATGGGTGGGGAATGAGTTCTGTCCCTACAGATGTTTTCAGATAGCCTCTTCATCTTTTTTCTTACAAACTGTTATTTTATTTTACTTTAGCTTTTTTCTTTGAACAGCTTTATTGAGATATATAATTCATTTACCATACCATTCGCCTATTTAAAGTGTACAATTTAAAGTTTTTAGGATATTCACACTAGTGCAACCATCACCAGAGTCAACTTTACAATATCACCCCAAAAGAAACACAGTACCCATGAACACTGACGATTCTTTCTGCTTCAGGCCCCAACCCCTCCTTGTTTTTTTTTTTTGCAAACAATTTTAGAAACTTTGAAAACATCTCTTGCCATCAACACAAAACAGAGAGAGGAAACCAGAGCTAAATCAGAATTACTGTATGTAGCTCTTTCATGTTTCGTTTCAACAGAAAATGTCAGTATTGTGTTAAAGAATACAAGAGTTCTTAAGTTTCGAATTCTCATTCATATGTTTTTAGTGGTATGTTAATCACTCATTTCAATTTTCAACCTGAAATAGTTAACTTTGAACAGATTATATGCCAATAATTAAATCTAATCTTAATAAAGAGGGATCATTGTGAGTAGGTGAGGTAAGCAGGACTATGGTATAGATTTTAAAGATTAAAAAAAGTTTACTGCTATAATAATTTATTTCCATATTTCTTTAAAAAATGTAACACACACATAACGTAAAATTTACCATGTTTTTTTACTTTATTTTATTTTTTAAAAAATTTATCATCTTAACTATTTTAAGTGTACAGTTCAGTTGTGTTAAGTGTATTCACATTGTGGTGCAACCCATTTCCACAACTTTTTCATCTTGTAAAACTGAAACTCTGTACCATTAAATAGCTCCCCATTTCCCCTTCTCCCAGATCCTGGCAACCACCATTCTACTTTCCGTGTCTCTGAATTTGACTCCTCTGGGCACCTCCTATAAGTGGAATCACACAGTATTTGTCTTTCTATGACTGGCTGACTTCATTTAGCAATAATGTCCTCAAGGTTCATCCATGTTGTAGCGTGTGAAAGAATTTCCTTCCTTTTATTTTTTTCCTTCTTTTTAAGGCTAATAATATTCCACTTGATGGACAGTTAGGCTTTTCCCACCTTTTGGTTATTATGAATAATGCTGCTATGAACATAGGCGTACGAATATCTGTTTGGGATCCTGCTTTAAATTCTTCTGGATAAATACCCAGAAGGAGTATTGCTGGATCATACGGTAGTTGTATTTTCTAAATTTTTGAGAGCCTGCCATACTGTTTTGCACAACAATTATATCATTTTACATTCCCACCAACAGTGCATAAGAGTTCCAATTTTTCCACATTCTTATCAACACGTTGTTTTCTGGCTTTTTTTTTCTTTCGTTTTGATAGTAACCATTTTAATAGGTATGAGGAGATATCTCCTAGTGGTTTTGATTTGCATTTCCATATCCATGTATTTTTATGTTCCCCTTTAGTAATCCATTATAGCAAAAAGGAACATAGCTAGTTTGAGTCCCAGGTAGCTCAGAAGTAATTTCATTCAATTTTACTTTCACTATGTCTTTATTATTATTCTCAAAATATCTTACTTTTGGTTGTACTTAAGCTCAGAATTTATCTATTATTTGTTTGTTTGTAGCTGTTCTTCAGTAGCTGATAGTACTGGATCTGGAGAATTCTTCAAGCATCTCTATTTTGTGCTGGCGTCAGTGTTTTCAGAACTTCAGTTCGCTCAATGGCAAAGCCAGGGCTTCTGGTACATTATCTTGCTGACGGCTTCTCTCTGGTTCCTGAGGCTCTACCTGCATTACCTCAGCCAGTGGCTTTTCCTCCAGGCCATTTCAATTCCTGTTACAAAGTGAGTGCTTTCCCCTGACAGTCAAAGGAATGCATTTTCATCTTGAGAGGCCAAATGAAAGTAAAAAACTCCTCTCCCATCCGTTTACCGTAAGACCTAAAATGCAGGTATGATTTGAGAAGACAAAAATGTCTTTATCTAAGAGCAGGAATGTCTATTACAGTTATATTCTCATTTTGGGCCTGTATATACAAATACTTAACCAGTACATCAATATTTATTTAAAATTTAGCAGATTCAACTATGTTCTAATATCTGAGCAGAATCCAAAAAGGAATTTAGCAACAATATTTTATCCTATTTTGATTTTATCAGAGTGACTTAGGCTGCAGGTATTTTAGAAGTAATATAAGTATGATTTATCACCTATACTCAGAGAAGCAAAGATTGCTTCTTCTGCAAAATGATTGAATTCAAACAATTACTGAACTCAAGCCCAGGCAGCATTCTGGGCCATTATCCTCTGGAAAAAGATGACACTTTAAAGGTTATCTCTCCATAAACATGATTCCAGAGACACTATAGATAGACCAACAGATAGATATCAATACAAGTAAAATTCATTTTTTCAAATGTAGATGGTACAGATAAAAATAAAGATGTGTGTATATTTTCAATTAAGAAGGCTGCAAACTATTTTAAGACACTTTGAGAAGAAATATGTGTGTGTTATACATACACACATACAGTTTTTGATCATCTTTTATAATTAAATCACAAATATCTGAATATATTATAGAATATACAACTTTAAATGTACTAAATAACTGTATTTTCATGGCAGAATTTTATATAGCTGTTATATTCCTTTCTTCCCTTCTTTTTCTTTCCTCTTTCTTTTTTTCTTTCTTTTGTGTGAGAGTTTCTAAAGCAGAAAGGATAAATATTATCTGCTTGGGCTAGTTGCTTTTTGCTATTTGCTGTCTTACTTCTTCAATAGAAAAGGAAGCTCTATCTTTATTGGTTGTTAATGAAATGAGACTGCAAAAAAATATCCTGGTAGCTCAGCTTATTCAATTTCTTAAGCAACAGAGGACCTAATACGTTAGGATGTTTTGTTGACTATTGCCTAGTTCCGCAGGCTCGAATCATACATTAACTCCATGTCACATTGTAGTTATGAGACATGACAATAGCTACAGCCACAGTGAGCATTTTTTCTGCTTTTACTCTGTTAGGTCCTCTGCTAAGAAATGTATACACCTTATTTTATTTGATATTCACAACAGCCTAAGAACAAAGTGTAAAAACTGCCTTCAGAGCAAAGGTCAAGGAATGGAATAAATGAAGAACTCTTTTTAGTAGAGAGCTGATAAGCTGATAAGAACTCTTTTTAGTAGAGAGCTGAGATGCACAAGCAGCATTAACTACAAAATAACTTTAGAAGGCTGAAACACAGGGGAGGGAAAAATTTGAGTCAACGAAGGCTCACTTTGCATGGAAAGACGGTGCCAAAGTCTGGGTGAAGGCTGCTTGAATTACTGGGCTCACCTTGGATTCAAGCCTTAGGTCAAGTTGTCCCTTTAGATGTTTTTGTTGTCAGCAGTGTTGTTGTTGTATTTAGGGGGTCTAGCTAGAGGAATCACAAACAAAATTAATCAGTGATGTCAAAATTCTGGAGAATTATGAGATTTATTTATATTTCTGATTTCTGTTAGAGATTGAGTCATTACTAAGTCCACTGATATACTTTGCATTTCAAATAGCCTATTAATGAGTATGTGTGACCTGCTGGGCAGTTCTTAGTCTAAAGAATGCTCTGCTCAGTGGATCAAAATGATATCCTTTCTATGATGGCATATGAAATTTACAAGAACAATGAACAAGGTAGAATTTGCCTTCTCCTCAAAAGTGAGCTGTTGCGGAGTTTCTAAGGAAAAGATGAAGACTTCTAACACTTAATTTTGGGGTACTATTAAGTGTCAAGTTTTCTCTACAAAAAAAAGAAAGCATTTCGTTCTATAAAATGTTTTGTATATGCAGCATTTTATAGACTTCTTCTCCTTTGCACACATGTGATTGCTTTGTTTTCCCATAGATTCCATTTTTCCCCCCTCACGGTTGAGCTCTGCTACCCAAGCTCTTTACTTCGCATCGGAGAAGAGTTGCTTGTTGTTGTGATGGGGCCTTTAATGCTGAACGCAGTGGTACTTCCCTTGGTTCTGATCAGATGGGGCTGTCAGGTACTGTTTGCCTTCTGCCCTGATGTCCTGTCAAAGTTAATCATCACCATGGGACTATGGACAGTTCTGGACCCACTGGCAGTGTTTATTGTGGATACTATCCTGGGGGTAAGTCAAGTAAAATAATCGGGACACGAGTCCTTGACATAGAATGTAACGTTAGTGCACAAATCAGTTGACACGGGAAGTTTCAATAGTCATGTACAATTCAATATTCATCTTAAATTGAAGTTATTCATTTTTTTCATAATAAAAAATTGTGGATGTCTAATATAATCATTTTAAGTGTAATTTTAGCTATGTTAAAGAAACACTTGCAAAATGGGTAGAAAATAATGTTGGAGATCAAATCTAAACTAATTGGTGCATTTTCAACATTATTGCAAAGAAGCTTTCTTTTGTAACATTTTTGGTAACTTTTTTTTAATATTAAGGATTTTCACAGCCAAACTTCATAAAAAAGTAATCGTGCAGTAGTTCCTTTAATTTGTTAGGTTATTTATTTCCTTTTGATGTAATACTCTTTCATAATAGATATACTCAAGAAGAAGAATAAGAGCTTTTTTAACATTTCTAAGTAATAAATAATTTTAAAAATTACTCCTTAGGCATTTATTTTGACATTTGTGATGTTTATGAAATGACGAAATGGTGCATCTTCACTCTAAAATATATAGTTTTAGGATTTCATAATTAAGAATGAGGTACTAACATATGATTATGTATAAAAATGCTAATAATGATTCTAAATCAAATATTCATTTGTAAAATTATCTAAATTTATGTAATAATACTCCTTAACTGGTGTAGTTCTCCTTTTAAGAAGAAAGGTTTCCAGCCGCTGTATATGTGTTTAGACTATATTCACTGTGCCTATAGCAGATCATAGGGATGGGATTTTTGATGAACTCTGCTTATTCACAGTATTTGAAATGGGTTCTACCATTAATCATGTGCTCTTAGAACTGAAGACCAAACTGCTGTCCACTCCACATCCATGAAAATGTGGTGCTGTGGTAGGTTCGGATCTGCAAAGCCTGCAGCTCTTATTTCTATCTCTCAGGCCGTGCTACACTGCAAGAGTGTGTCTCCAACTTTTATGTGCTTGCACGTCACCTGGGGATCTTATCAAAATACAAATTCTGATTCAGCAGGTGGGGCCTGAAATTCTGCGTTTTAACAGACTCCTAGATGTTGCCAAGGATGCTGGTTCCATGGACCAAATCAGACTGTGACAAGTTGATAGACCCTCTACTGAGAAGGTGTCTCCCTTCCCTTGGCTGTTTGCTAAGCTGGCTTTCACTTGCTCAAGGTTCCTGGGCTGCTCTCAACAAGACTGGGGTCCTTGATGTACTGAGTCCACTAATGACCTTTTAGGCCTTGTGTGAGAATTCTGACTTTTTATTTCAGAGTGGAACGACCTCTGCTTAGAACCTGCAGACAAATGTGACAGTTGACTCTGCAACCATGTAGGTCATTTTAATATTATCAAAACAAACAGTGAACATCGAGCCTACCAAAGTACCTAGCTTCTAGCCTCCCTGCCAAGGAAAATTTGTCAGTGCTTGGAAGGCTTGTTTTCAAGTTCTAACCTGTGACCACCCTTGAAGCCTCAGTACCATGGACCACCTTGATGACAGTCAGAAGTGGTCGTGTTTTCTACCCCATCCTACGTTCCTTCACCCCTCTGATTAGACTCCAGGTTCATGAGGACAAGGCCGTACCATCAAGGTTTGTTGAGCAGGAGATGTAGAGACGGATGCTGTCTGCATTCCAGTAGGACTATAGCCCATGGCCTCTCACAGTTCCTCCTGGGGCCAGTTTGCTCCTATTGCAACACCACACGGGAAGCCGTCTGGGAGGATGCGCCACCGTCCTTTATGATCTTCTGAGATCTCCTCATAAGGAAAGTCTACAGCTCTCCTGGAATGGCTTTCCTTCTTCCAGACAGGTCCCCTAGAGAGATTACTAGCTGAATAGTCCACTGTATCAAAGGCAGCTGACAAAATGAGCTGTCTTAATTTACTCTGGGGCCTCTGATGTCATCTACAGGAAAGTAACCTCCAGCAGGGCCATCTCCGAACCAGTTCAGAAGTCTGTAACCTGATGGAAGCTGACTTGGATTCTAATAGATGAGTGTAACACCCATATCTTTCTCCACTTGGAAAGAAAAGCTTGACGGCTCGTTCCCGGTCTGCACAATATTCAATCTCTAGTTAGAATCCATCATGTTTCATTGCCGATGACATCCACTTTTGCTGTCTTTAAGAAAACTCGAAAGCTGCCTGTGATCCACAGATCAGCAGCATTGGAGTCCGTACTTGGATACTCTCACCAATTGAATAAAAAGATGTGTTTTAACCTGCTCTACGGTGATAAGTTTGAGAAGATCTGCTCTAAAGCAGTGGTTCTTAAAATTAGGTCCCTGGACCAACAGCATTAGTTTCACCTGGGAACTTAGCAGAAATGCAGAATCTCAGGCCCTGTACCTCACTCACTCTTGAGGTAAAAACTCTGGGAATGGGGCCAGCCTCTGAAGGGGCTTTGTTTTTTTGGGTTTTTTTTTGTGCGGTACGCGGGCCTCTCACTGTTGCGGCCTCTCCTGTTGTGGAGCACAGGCTCCAAACCTGCAGGCTCAGCGGCCACGGCTGACGGGCCCAGCTGCTCCGCGGCATGTGGGATCTTCCCGGACCGGGGCACGAACCCGCGTCTCTTGCATCGGCAGGCGGACTCTCAACCACTGCGCCACCAGGGAAGCCCGGCTTTGGGTTTTAACAGGACTTCCAGATGATTTTCATGCTTAGTAAAGTTGGAGAACTACTGCTCCACATGGCATCATGGTTATCGTAGTTTCAGTGTCACTAATGAAATTCAGGTTGCCCGAGTTCATACCTCCCAGTTCTTCCAGCACTTCCTTCTAGCAGGTAAAGCTCAGAATCATCTGTGTTTGATCACAGTTGGCCGGTCAGGAGAGATGCTACCTAATTTCACTAATAATTTTTGTCTTGGATCCATTTTTTTTCATGGAAATCTAAAGGGTATGTGGCAGGTGGAATGATTGGAGGCTGGAGCATTGACTGGCTGTTGATGTTGCTGATAACAGTTTGCCTGTCGCTCAGTTTGCTGATTCAGAGGTTGGCAATGCATTCCTCTGACCGCCATCCATGATACTATGCTCAGAAATTCCACTGGGTTCATAAATTCATTCTCTCACTGAGCCTTTGTCTAGATAAAAAGTAGGGAAAAGATTTGCTGTCAGCGATGTGGCGTTGGATCAGTCAACCTCTCCAGGCTTCAATTTCCTCAATGAATTACAAAACAGTAAGAATACCCATAAACAGTAACACCTACCTTACTCAATTCACAGTTTGTTGAGAGAGTCAAATGAGAGACCATCTGGGAAGAAACTGGAAAATCTAAGGCATCATACATATAAAACAAACCAGCAGGAGGATTATAATGAAGTGATGATACTTATGCTGTGTGAATGTTACACGATGTAACCACCACTGCCCCAGTGGTCCAAGCAGGAACTTACAATCTAGTTGGGGAATCAAAATATTCAGTGTGTGATCAATACCATTCGGGAGGTGTATGGCTCATTCCCTTATATCCTTCAGGTCTTTGTTCTAATAACACCTTTTCGGTGATACCTTTTCTGATCAAAATGTTTAATAACACAGCCCATTCCTCCTATACGTTCTTCCTGCTTTACAGTTTTCCTCAAAATATCATTCTCTAATATACCACGCATGTTACTTCATCTTACTTACATGTTTACTATCATTTGCTTTCCACCCCATCCCCACTTCAATGTAAGTTCCGAGAAGGTAGGGCTTTTGTGTACTCTTATTCACTCTTTTATCTTCAGAGCTTAATGATGCTTAGTAGGCATTCAATACCATACGTGGGGGTCAGATGAATGATTAGCAGCTATTGATTAGATTATGTTATCAGCATCAAACATATAGCATTTTTTTTGTTTCATCAGCGAATCCCATGTCTATTTCTTTATTTTCCAAAAAGCAGCAGAAGGGAAGATATGGAATAGGAGAAATGCATGGTAACCCTTACAGATCTGCTGCCTAAAATCCTAGCACCAAGCTCACATTTCGCACGGTAAACCGATTAACAAGTAGAGAGCGTAAAAATAAAAGTTCTGAAGTGGTGATGGAAGAAGCAGTCGAGAGTCAGAACAGCTGAATTCTATCACTGCCCAATCACTAACGGATATTTTGGTGTAGGGAAGATACACATTAACCTATCTAGGGTTCTGTTTTTATCTGTATCTGTGTACTGTGGATTAGTTTTAAACGTGCCCTACTAAGCTATATTTATATAATTGTCAGTTTAAAAAGTAGAGAAATTCTTCTTTCTCTCTTACATTGGCGAAAAAAATACCTTATTTACATTTATATGGCATATGACTTACACTTGAGATCATGAGAGTCATAATTAAAGAACATTCATATTTTATAAACTCAAAGGTCAAAGATGTCATATGGCAATGTCTTAGGTACATAGCATTTTATATTTGCTTTTAAAGACCTCATTGCCTTGTATTTATTTCTAACCCAACATATAATATGGTTTTCCTTGTCTAAAATAAAGACTTATTATTAAATTGACCTAATGTAAACTTTGGTTTTCAAGATCACATTAAGTAGCCTGATAACTTTTATAAGTTTCTAAAATAAGCCATCTATTTCATGCATAGAACAATTTAAATTCCTTTCAAATCTGCTTCAGAGAGAAAAGAATATTTCCACCATCATATCTAATTCCTTCATATCTTGTGCTCATTAAATTCAGAAGTTAATAGTACATAAATAAAACATGGCTTTTACTTTATAGATTGCATGTAGAGTGCACACATTTAAACGCCTATAGGGAAGATGAGAAAATCCTGGGAAACCAACCATGCAAATCCAGTCTTTTTCTTCCTGCAGCTGAAGATCTGATATCTTCAGCACACTGAAAATGTAATTTAAAAACAAATTATACTCTCAGTTGGTCTTTGTGTATTTAAATTAATCTAACTTGATGATCAGTGTTTTCACCCTTATCTTATTTATTTATTTTTGTAATTTGTATCTTCTTTTGTCAGCGGCTTTCACATGACGGGGAGGCTCCTGTAGCTGATGCAGCAAAGCTGTACTGGATGTTTGAAAAAACCACGCAATCAGGAATCCTTGGTGTGGTGCTCACGGTGCTACTTTACGTGCTCCTGTTCATCATTTCATCTTTGATTTTATATTTGTATTGTCTCAGGTAAGATGTTTCAGTGGTTCCATTCCTCCGAGTGTTCAGCCTCCAGTCTTGTTGTTCTATGACTGGGCTGTGAGAAGATAGTTGAAGAAGTTAGAACCACGTCTCCACCTCAAAGGCAGAAATCTCTTTCTTGTGTGTTTACTGTCATGAAGACCAGCCGGGAAATTATTTCTTCTGGAGAAATTTTTTCTCCATTATAGGGAGAACTAATTTTGCTCTAAATCATTATACTTGTCTCTTCAAACTAAGGACCTACAGGAAACAAGGAGTAATACACAATGATACACAATGACATTCTGGGAAATTTCCTGGAAAGCTTGTCTAAACTTCTCTTTTCCTCATTCTTCTAACCCACTTTCTCCCCTCTCTTCCCACCCCTGCCAAAATCACCAGTAGGAGAATCCTCCTTCAACTTTGATCCTGAATATCATTGAGTATGGCTTGACAGGTCATTAATTTAACAAGCAAAATATGTGGGTGAAGAAAAACAAGAAAAGTAACAAATATAAGGCAGTATAAAAAGTGCTAGGAAGACTTTTCACTCTGTTGATGGTTTCCTTTGCTGTGCAGAAGCTTTTTATTTGGATACAGTCCCACTTGTCCAATTTTATTTCTGTTGCCTGTGCTTTTTAAAAGTCATTCTTATATCCATGAAATTATTGCCAAAACCAATGTCATGAAGCTTTCCTCCTAAATTTTTTTAAAAGAAATTTTGCAGTTTCAGGTCTTATACTTGTCTTTAATCTATTTTGAGTTGATTTTTGTGGATGGTTTTATATAGGGTTATTTTTTGCATGTGGATATCCAATTTTCCTAACACCATTTGTTGAAGAGACCATCCTTTTCCCATTGTGTACTCTTGGTACCTTGTTAAAGATCAGTTGATGAGCACGCATTTATTTCTGGACTCTCTAATCTGTTCTATTGCTCTATTGTATGTATTTATGCCAGTACCATACAGTTTTCATTACTGTTGCTTTGTAATATAATCCAGCAATTCCACTTCTGGAGATTTAGTCAAAAAATTAAAATCAGGATCTCAAAGAAATATTAGCACTCCCATTTTTATTGCAGCAATATTCACAATAGCCAAGCTGTAGAGATAACTTAAGTGTCCATTAGCAGATGAATGGGGAAAAATGTGGTATATACTTACAATGGAATATTGTTCAGCCTTAAAAAAGAAGGGAATCCTGAATTATGTAACAACATGGATGAATCTTGAGGACATTATGCTAAGTGAAATAAGCCAGTCATCAAAGGACAAATACTGCATGATTCCACTTAGATGAGATATCTAAAAAAGCAAAGTCACAGAAGCAGAGAGTAGAATAATGGTTGTCAAGGGCTGAGGAAAGGAAGAAATAGGAAGTTGTTATTCAACAGACATAAAGTTTCAGTTATGCAATATGATTAAATTCTAGAGATCTGCTATACAATACTGTGCCTATAATTGACAGTACTATACTGTGCACTTAAAAAATTGCTAAGAGGGTAGATTTCATGCTAAGTGTTTTACATAATTAAAAAAAAAAGTGCTAGGAAGAGGTCAACATAGGAGTCTCTGGGAGCATAGAGGAAAGGAACCAACCCAGGTCTGGAGGTGCATAGGGACAGTAGCCAAGTGCTTCAGTTGAAATATAACTCTTGAATAAGTTTTGAAGTTTTAATATAATTTAGCTAGAAGAAAAACAAACATGTTTGCAGGTGAAGGGAAGAGGTATAAGAACATATTGTTATGAGAAAATGTATTTGTCAAATCAAAAGTATTTTAATATGGCTGGAGTATAGGATATAGGGTGAGGGCAGTTGGCTGAGTTGAAATTAGGAATATAGTCAAGGACCAGATGAGAAAAGTCTTGAATATTGTGTTCTGGAGCTTGAATTTGTTCTAATGATAAAGTGCAATTATTGAAAGATTTTAAATGTCTTTAACTTTAGGAAGATCACTCTGCTCATAGAAAAGAAGATGAGATTTAATAGTGACCAGGTTGAAAACAAGAACGTCTAGTTAGAAAGCTATCTTAATAGTTTGGGCAAAGAGTGTCAAAAGCCTTAACTAAAGAGAATGAATGACACAGGAAATGGACAGTCGAGCCATATCTAAGAAATGGTTAAGTGACCCAGTATAACTACTGGGCTCATTGGAAGGTGAAGGAAAGGATAACATTTAGTAGAACCTTAAGTTTTGGAGTTGGGCAGATGGGTGGATGACTGTAGCATTCCTAGAGATAGGACACAGAGAGTAAACATTTAGAGGAGATAATGGGTTAAATTTTCCCTCAGATTGACCTTGAGATATCTTTGATATTGACAAGGGAAAATATATCATAAGACGTTAGTATAGATGAGTATAGAGCTCAGAGAAAACAATATAAACTACAGATTTGGGTGGAGGAAGCCTTGAGTTTCATTGCTTTGTAGGGTAGAGGCTAGATTGCAGTGGGCTGAGTGAAGGACACGGAGTCAAGACTTACGCCAATTCTTTTCACAAAACCATGATGCAAATGGAGAGTGGTTGGAAAAAAGGTTTTTAAAAAGAGTGGCTTTTAATATGGGTGTGGTTTGAATATATTAATATGCCTATATGATAATTCTAAACGAAGGAGAAATATGGAGGATGTCTAAGCAAGGGAGGATGATTGATTGAGCAAGGTCTCTGAAGACCCGAAGTTGAGTACATGTGATGACAAACCTTGGATTTAGGGAAAAAAGTCTTATCTCTTGATGTGATAGGTAAAGAGATAAGGACAATTGCAAATGCAAGCACATTTGATAGCCATTATTATTTCCTATGAAATGGGAGGTGAATTCACTCCTTAACTTTTCCTTCAGTAGACTGATCATTCTCTGATGGGGCCCTTTGGTCACTAACATAGGGGTAGTAAAGTTGTCTAATTGTCAGGGGATCCACGTTGTTTAGGCACAGTCTTGGTTTATATTTGGACATGTCAGAAGCACTGCATGTCATCTTTCCTGAGCACTTACGTTCCTGGGGAAGGGAAGAAAGTCTTCCGTGATCATTCAGTTTTCATTTGCTCACTAACTTGTCGTGTAGCCTTAGGCAATGATGTTCACTTGCTGGATTTTAGGCATTTTCTTGTGTAACACGTATATGTAGATCTTACAAGAGGCTCTACATGAAGTGTAACTACTACTTAATATGACTAGAGTTTCCTAGAGGAGTTAAAGAAATAAAATAGTGTATCATGTTGTTTAGACTTTTGTAGGATTAAAAAAATGATCGGGTCATGGTAGGTCTCTTTCATTCCCATATCACTATATCTCTTCTCACTTAAAATAAGATAAATGTTTACAACGATGCTTTGCTTGCTCCAAAGTCTACATTTTTATTGTCAAGAGTACTTGTAAAGTATAAAAAAATGCAAGCACAAAATTTATGCACCAAATAAGTGCGATTTAATCTTTTGCTACCTAAACAAATAGTTGTTTGCTTTAAAATAAAACAGGAAGATTACCCCATGGGGAAGGGTTGATAGGAGGTGTGGGAAGATCTGTAATGGAGGAAGAAATGATTAAGGGAAGAGGAAGTGTCCAGACATCATAGAGAATGAAACTAAAACAAAATTCAGGAGGAATAAACAAGTTTTGTTCACTCTTTCCCCCCAGCCCCTCACTGTCTTTGTGCTTAACCTGTCTCGTCAGAACTAGGCATGCTCAGTAACTGTAAGCAGGTTTTGTTTGTATTTTAGAAGTAGATGCTCTTAAGAGTCCTTTGGGTGATGATAAATTTACAGTTGTATCCAACGGGGAAAATACCTGTATTTTCCATACAAATAAATAAAGTCACTCCAACATGTCTGCTGAATAATTATCTCTTAACTGATATTTCTAAACTCTCTTTTTCTGAGATGGTGGAGAGCAGGGCAGCCCAGCTCTTCTATGAAGCAAGCACTGTCACCATCAGAGGCATCTGGTCAATGAAATGGGGTTTTGCTCTGACATAAAAGTAGGCAAAGAGACACAGAAATCAGAAGAACTCATCTCAGTGAAAAAATCCCAATATGGATCTGTGCATGTTGACTGATTTAGGTTAGCATTCCTATTCCAGATGTTAAAGCAACACTCCTAACTCTTCCGGGCTTTTGAATCAGTGCTGTCAAAATGTGATAACACTGCTGGCATAAAGGAAGTACAAAGAAGATCAAGGCTGTGGTGCAGGATGTTAATAGAGCATTTTGTGTAGCTCTGGGCACCAGAAGCTCCACATTATGGGGACTGGCTGTGTAAGCTCCAGATTGGACCCTATTGAATTTGGCTGATTGGATCTCATTTCTCTAAGAGCCTGAATAATTTCTTGCTGAAGTGTTTCTACTAGAAAAATTCTCACTTTCCATAGCTCTAGGAGAAGAATTGACCAGAATGCTGGTTCTTTGCCTCTGTGCAAGGAGGTTCTTGAGCTGGGTGTAATTACTTTGACTGGATTTTGTAGCTGTAAAAAAAACATTGATCTTTTTAATGGTTTTCCTTATTATAGTAAGGATATGTTATTTAGTAAAAAAATTGAAACTACTGAAAAGAATCAAAAAATAAATTAAAAGCATCAATAATCTCACCATTGAAACAAAGCATTGTTAATCTTTTGATAAATTTATTTCAGTCTTTTCCTGTGTATATTTTTTTTTACAAAGTTGAAATTGTACTGTAAGTATAACTTTATATGTTGATTTTTATGTTTGTTTTTTTAAATTGAAGTATAGTTAATTTATAATGTGTTAGTTTCAAGTGTATAGCAAGTGATTCAGTTATACATATATATATTTTTTCAGATTATTTTCCGTTATAGGTTATTAAAAGATACTGAGTCGAGTTCCTTGTGCTATACAGTAGGTCCTTGTTGTTCATCTATTTTATGTATAGTAGTGTGTATATGTTATCCCAAATTCCTAATTTATCTCCCCCCCGCACCTCCTGCTATCCTCTTTGGTAATCATAAGTTTGTTTTCTATGTCTGTGAGTCTATTTCTGTTTGTAAATAA